ATGCTTCTGGTCAGGTGTCGGAAGAGACGCCGCTGCTTTCTTTTCCGATCTGAGCTTCCGATTTCTTCTGATGCATCACATCTATGGAGTTTCTGCTGATCCAGGGACGATGACGAGACGCTGACGAAGATGAAGACGGAGAGAGAGAGCGCTTTCCTTTTTTTAGAATTTTAGGAGAAAGCAAAGAAGGGGCGGTACGGTGTGCGCGCTGCGTCCACCATTTCGGAGAGAGCGCCCTTTCTCTTCTCTCTTTCCTCTTATTGATCGTACTGCCCTGCCATGCCCTCTCCGCCCAAGGAAGAAATAAAAAAAGGAAATTTTGGAGGAATGCTTACGAAAAAAACTAATATTATCTTGTAATTTAAACAAAATATTGGATTATAAGTTTGAATACATGAACACTATGTGAGAAACCAAAAGATATAATGGAATCGAACATCCTGGCGAACACTTTGACCATAGTTTGCTTCGCCTCTCGTGATTGATCAGAGTCGTTCATACTCCCTCAAAGAACTCCCTTTGTACCCAATCCAGAAGGAAATGGTATCTACAAATTAATGTCCTGTTGTGTTACGACAAGTAATGGACGGCTCTATGCGAGACATTTTTACAAGTATCACCAATGATTTATTGTCTCCCACTCTGTTTTGTTTGAATAGCTTGGAGAATCCAACTCCTTCTGAATCAGATGCATTAACACAAGCATCAACTATTTTAAAAACGCACAGTACAATGGTACTTGAGGTGTCATCGTGAATGGAACAACAATCTCTAACTCACTGGATCCACGTACACACCTACTATAAGAACAGTGCCCGAGAAAAAGGCCTTATTGCATTGCGTCAACCTTTTCTTCTGAAGAGGAGAGCTAGTGAAAGGAGAAAACCATATTAATATGACTCGATGCAGATATCTGATGGCAAATTCAGGAGAAGAATGACCGGGTCTTGTTGCGTTCCAGCCGAGCCTCCCTCTGAGAAAACACACACAGATAAGTGAAAAGAGAGACAAGGGAAAGGAGTTCATATGTCTACATGAATGATGGAACGGGTATTCAGATGAAATCCAAGAACACCTCCTTCTTCTTGCATTCCTTATAAACATCAAAATGCTCCTGGCATTTGCTCTTGTCTGATCCAGATTCCTCAAGACCTGAGAGTTCGATCAAGATATCAGTCAAACTAGCGAAAACAAAGCGGATCGTCCGTGCTGCAAACACATCAAAACTGGTGATATGTGGGAAAGGCACGACATCATATGAAAGCAATCAAGGAGCCGATGAAAATTCACGCAATCAGAACACGAATTAGAGAACCTCCGACAAGAATCTGCAGTACTGTTGCATGATTGTGAAATCATAGACAAATAGAAGGGTTTCCATTGGAAATCAACGCTCGTATTCGAAAGCTAGTTTCTTGAGCAATTCGGCAGAGCAACAGAAAGGGTAGCAATCGTTCTAGGAAACATAGCATCAGGAATTTAAAAAAAAAAAACATAGCATCAGGGACACCGGCATATCTATCATCTCGACGATTCTAGCCATCAGACAACAGCAGAATTAAGATACCGCCTGATTGTCCGAGAAATTACGAAAACAGAATCTGACATTTGAGAGAAGCAGTGTACTGAGGATAACATGGAGAATCGGATATCCGAGCTGCGCTTGGGTACGCCTGCGTCGACATCGTCGTTTCTCTTCTCCTCTTCTCGATGGCTAGCCTATAATTGGACCACGGAGGTGTTTCGTTTCTTTTTTTTTTTCTGCCTTTAAACCCTTCATCCACAATGGGCCTTTAAACCCAAACAGCTAAAGCCCGTCACATATATTCCCTAATTTTTTAGACGTTTCTTTCTTCCGTCCCCCGCGGATTCCTTTTTTAAAATTTTATATATTTTATTTTCAATTTGGTTTCGCTCAATTTTCATGAATAAAATACATAAAATTTTTAGATCTGGATAATTTGATTTGAAAATTATAAACAGTTTGGTTTGATTGTGTTTTATATATTTCTAGTTCTGAATGGTACACATGACTGTTAATTCTGAAACTTTGGAATATTTATCTTTCTTGTTTATAGTAAAATCTAAGGGCATGAGTAAATATTAGTTGTTTGTTCTATATAGAGTAACAAAACTTGCAAATATATATAGATATTGGACATAGAGGGGGATTTGTTGTACCCTTGAAATCCAATTAAAAGCTGTAGATTCTGTTTGGCTTTATTTCCTTATAAATATGGAGCATATCTCTAAACCCTAAATTAGAAAACACGTAAAGATTCTATATCGGCATAAATTGAAGACCACTCATATTTGATGCAGACGGGGGTAAATGCAATGTATATACGAAAAGGGTAGATAAAGAGACGTGAAAGGATTACATACAGGTGTAGGAGATATATAAGAAAGAGGGGGAGGAAGAATTAAGGGCAACAGCAATGGCATTCTCCCACAGCAAAGTAGGCGTGGCCGTATCAGTCCTCATAACCGGTGTAATATACATCCTATGCTTCTGGTCAGGTGATCCTCTCATCTCTTCTCTCCAACACAGTTCTCCCCCAGCGGTTATTGATGAGTTGGAGGCGGTGCTGGAGAGCGCGGGTTCGGGGAACAACAAGACAGTCGTGATAACGATGGTCAACAAGGCCTATGTGGAGAAGAGCGGCGCATCGACCTCAACGGTGCTCGATCTGTTCCTTGAGAGCCTCTGGGAGGGAGAAGGGACGAGACACCTCCTCGACCATCTGCTGCTGGTGGCCGTTGATCAGACGGCCTACGATCGCTGCAGGTTCCTCAGGCTCCATTGCTACAGGCTCGAGTTGACGGATCAGCAGCAGCCTCTTGATTTCTCCGGAGAGAAGGTTTACATGTCCCCCGATTTCATTCAGATGATGTGGAGACGGACTCTCTTCCTCCTTCAAGTCCTCCGCCACCGTTACAGCTTCATTTTCACGGTGAATCCATTTTCTTCAATTAGGATACATTTCAATTCCATTTTATTAGGGTTTCAAAATTCATTACTTGGGAGGAGAGAACACGTGGATGGATATATATTTACAGCGGTTCTGATTTCCTCAAGGGGTTATAGGCTCTTCGCCCTTGAGTTGCTTGCACGACACACTACACTGGCATTGGCGTTCGACCAACGAGATTAGTCAAGGGACCTTTTTTCATAGGCTTTAGGGTTTTGTAATATGTGGATCAATACCCAAGTGAGTTGAGTTGCCTGGCATGGAGATGCAAGTCAGCGCATTTTGGAGATGCTTTGAGTGCTACTAGGACGATATTGACTTTTTTTTCCCTGGTGTTTGTTTAGCAAAGTGTACCCATCATCCATCCATTGTTTTTCGGAATTGCCAACACTACGCAGTGCACGGACACACTGTGCAAAATTTAACCAAAAAAAAAACTTGTCCTCACTTTGTCCTTTGGTATGATATGATTTGGTAGGACACGGACGTGATGTGGCTGCGGAACCCCTTCTCGCGGCTAAACAAGAACGAGAGCGTGGATCTCCAGATAAGCAGGGACAGCCCAAATGATCACTTCATCAACACCGGCTTCTACCACATAAGATCAAACGAGAAGACCATCTCCCTCTTCGAGAAATGGTACAGCATGAAGGACAACTCCACCGGAATGAAGGAACAAGATGTCCTAAAAAGTCTCCTCGACTCGGGCTTCTTCGACACCATTGGCCTCACCGTCAACTTCCTAGAAACCGTGCAGTTCAGTGGGTTCTGTAATGACAGCCCCGATTTTGGGGCGGTCACCACCGTCCACGCCAACTGCTGCCGTCACATCCCCGCCAAGATTGCTGACCTCACCGCAGTTCTCAATGACTGGAAACGCTATAAAGTTGCTGTTGGTAAACGCCGCAGCGGTCACAAGGTCAAACGGTTGAAATTCCGGTGGACTCCCCATGACAATTGCTGGGGGTCATGGAATGACACGCACTATAAACCTCGACAGTGACTAGTCTGTGTCTTAAAATGTTAAATGCCCAGCGGCACAATTTCTGCATATTAGAGATAGCCGTCTCCATTATATTCTCAGTTATGTACATCAGGCAAATGAGTATTGAAACTAGTTTGTTCTCTCCACTGCATCAGCAGGGAAGATACAGCGTTCTACATCTCTTCTGATTCCTTATAAGTGGCTGCTCAAGCCTTCATGCATCAAGAGTACACCAAGAGTTCCATGAGAATATCCATTCAAAACATAAATAGAAATATTAACACAGGTAGTGTGTCACAGTTGTGATCCTTAAGTATGGTCTCAATTTCCACTTCCCTTGCAACCTCCTGACTATATATCTCAGTTTTTCACAGTTCTTCATGGCTGATTATCATTGATAGATTCCCCAAGAACCTTGGGTAGTTAATATTCAAAACCCCTTTGCCTATAATATTCAGACAAGTAATCACAAACTATCTTGTAACTCATTTAGAAGCTCATTATCCCTGTCACTCTGATTTCCATTGTTCTCTTCATTCCCTGTTGTTTCGCCTCCGTCCATGATTGGTCCTTTTACTATATCATCCACAGCTGATAAACCGATAAGAGCCTCATAAGATTTCTCCTGAAGATGCCCAGATTCCCTCAGCAACTGCACAATGGCATCTTTACTAGGAAAATCAGATTCTTCTTCACAAAGCTCGAAGAAGCTAGACAATGTCAACGCCTTTGGCCTCCAATTATTTGATCCTTCAGCCACAAAAGCTTCTTTCAGACAAGTCAAAGCCTCAGAAATCCTCCTTTTTCTGATATGCCCTTCAGCGAGAATCTCCCACGAACTTGGACTCGGTTTTCCTCCCATTTCAATCATGTGGTCGAGAAAGCCCTCAGCTTTACTTAGCTGGTCATTCTTTACATATGCACTCATGAGAAGATTTGCAATCCTGGGGTCGTAAGATGACTTGACCGGAAGCCATTCCTCATATACTCTCTCAGCTCCTTCAATATCTCCGATTCGAACCAAAGACGAGATCAAGGCATGGTAGCCCAAGTTGGGAATACTGGGGAAAACAGATTTGTAAACATTCCACACCCGGTACACTTCTTTCTTGTTACCAGTGCTTCCATACAGACTCAAGAGGTAATGGTATGGTATTCGATCCCGACCTGTAATCCTTGCTTCAACCTTCCTCAATGCATCTTCAGCTTTCTCTGTTTCGCCCATCTTAATATACATGGTGGCCATGGTGCTGAACGTGGTCCAGTTAGGATTGATGGCTACATCCGACTTCATCTGCTGGTAGACTTGTTCCATTTTCTCAATGGATCCTTGGGATCCACAGGAGGAGAGCCAGATGTTATAGGAGTATATGTCGAGGCGTATGCCTTTATCCTTCATTTCTGAGACCATGGCATCAACTTTATCATACTCCCTGAGGTTCATGTAGAGAGTCATCATGACATTGAAGGGAAGGGGGTGCATGGCATAGCCTTTCTCGCGCATTTGTCCGATCAAGGCTTCGGCTTTCTCTCTGGACTTAGCCCTGACGTAAGCGTTGAGCAGAGCACCATAAACCCTCCTGTCCTTAAAATTGTCAGGCAGACGGAGGAAGACGTCTTCAGCGGATGAAATGCCACGCACTTTGCCAATGAGGTCGAGCTGAATCGCGGCATCGCTGGCAGACAATCGGAATCTTTCGCCTCGGTTGCTCATCCAGTCATACACCTGACGAGAAGACGGTATAGCAGTAGAGATGAGCATACAAAAAAGGAATAATATTAAGTCACAGAGAGAGGGATAATGGACCTGAAGAGCAAGGAAGTGACGCTTGTACTTGCGAAGCTCCTTAACGACGCGACAGAGCTCCCACTTGGTGAGCTTGCGACCGCGTTTTTCCCAGAGATCCAAAACGGAGGCGGCGCCAAGGTCAGGATTCTGGAGGGAGAGATTCTTGTAGAGAGCGTTCCATTGGATGATGGGTCGTCGCTCGTAGTCCACCGTGCCGTAACCATACACCTCACCAGATCCGACGACTCCTGGTTTCGGTCTCCTCCGTCTCCAGAGAAGAGCGACGGAGAATGGAGCTGATGAGGGCGAAGGGAGCGGGTAGGAGACGGAGGGTGCCGGTGACAGATTCCAATGAGGCTGAAGGTGAAGCATCATCGCTCTCTGTCTCTGTTTCGCGACGATTGCTGCGGATAAGTTTCGACCGAAATGGTGACTGAAAGAAACATATAAGAAATTAAAGGTAGATAGGGACAAAACGGTAAATATGTATAATCACCCAAAGGAGGGAGGGTTCCAACCTGCACATCATCTTTAGAAATTGTAATCCAATTCGATCTCAGTAACATAAGCATTTATTTTATTTGAAATGAAAAAAAAAAAAGAATCCATTTTGCAATTTAGGTCTGTATGAAACAAAACAAATGGAAAGACCCACTCAAGTCAAACTCGTGAAACAACTAGATGACTGTTAACATCCCGACCACTCCTTTGGCATCGTGTTCTTCATCTTCCTCTTCTCATGGACGTAGACTTTAACTTCCTTTTCCTGCAATCAACGACATTTCAAGGCTCTTACACCATCCCTCCCCAAGTTGTATACATCTTCTCATCATCTCCATTTCCCTCACATAGCCCCCAAGGAGAATCAAGTGCCGTATCTTATTCTTGATTGAAACTAGCTCCAAGCACCAACTATTTATCATACATTTGGTTCAATTTGTTCTAAGACTTACATGACTCATTCCATACCAAGGTCTTAGTCCCACTCCCTCGCATTTCAACCATACGATCTTATTTTTCTCAACACTCTAAGGCCAATCACGTTTGTTACGAAGCCAATCCTTTACAGTTAACGAAATCAAATTGTGTGCACGTACCAATACAATCGGAGGGAAACCGTGCTGGAGACGGAGTCTAGAGAAGCCCGCCTCAGAAAACAAGCATTTGTATCCATCCACAAAGGCATGCTCACTGATCAAAGAAATACCACATATTTTCAGAGTATTGGGTAGACAGCTTCAAGGTAATCCTTGAGTATTTTCTGGGAGCGTAGTGCTATCACAGAATGTATCAACAAAAAGAAAAAAGAAATAAGACATGATGATAGAAAGCTCACTTAACAAGATAGGTGAAATTTCGTTTGTGCAACTCTTCCAACGGTATCCCTTCTTCTTTCGAGTATCTGCATCCCAAATGGACATTTTGTATCAGACTCGTATTAAAGTTAAAATAACTCTTCATCTAGAACTTTACAAGCCCTTGGAGAATCAAGAGACTTTCTCAGTTAGTCTCTCTATTATTCCCCAAAACAGAAGCAATACAGGAAAAGCAAACAGAAGCCTGAAATCTCATGTAGATGTGTGCCCTAACCAGTTCCAGTAGCACAGCTGGAAACACGATTTTTTATGCACCTCGGAATTTCTTTAGTTTAACAGATGTAATATAGAACATGAATGATGGATTGGTAATGTACATAGACAAATCGAGCTTACCTCCACGGAAAAGCATATTCACAAAAACGAGATATCCCATTCATAGCAGCAAAAGTGTCTATGTGAACCCAGCACTGTGCCTCTGCACTGTTACCAGAATGGCCTGAGGAATATGTGTGAAAATTTGGTTAAAGGTAGAGCACAAGAAAGACAAGGAAGTATGCTAGAAAGGCATGTGAGAGGTTGTACTGAAATAACTACGAAACATCAAAAAGAAAAAGTAACCAACACAGAACAATGGCAAGTAGATATCATTTTGCTGGGTATCTCAGCAAGTATAACAATCAGCTTTTTTATGGGAAAAGTGACGCACTCGTATGATGCAAACGCTCCAGAGCATAACCACTAGGATAGTTGTTGTAAGATGCCATGAATGTCGTGATTGTGCACCCTGCACTATAGGAATCAAGGTAAATGAACTTAAATCCTGTTTCCCTTTCAGCACAGAGAAACGAGTAGTAGTCCTATCCATAGCCGATGTACATTGACAGAATGGAGGCCTTTTCCCTCAGTGTCAAAGGATTATCATTATTATTTGGCAAATTGGTTAAATTTTCTTACCTGAGTATGAATAATCCTAGCATAACTATGTTCATCAGCCTCCAAAGAGTTTTCTTTCTGTTATTGTAGCTGTGCAAATAAATCAACTCATATCAAGAGTCTGGGTTAGGAGAAATTCCTCAGCAAGAGTAGTTAAAAGGAAATAAAAAAAATTATGTCAAGCGAGCTCTAGCAACGTCTCTTGGTGCAAAAAGAGAGAGAGCCAGAACAGCTACTGAGCAAAAGAAAAAACTCAAAAGCTAAGAAACAACAGATAGAATGAAATCTTACATTCTACTGGCAGCAACTGCAGCACACAAGTTAAACATTGGCACTGAACTAATAATAAAGCGGAGTTCCTGCATAAATCCAGCGTTATAGGTGCATTTGTCTTAGAACACAATGAATACTATCCCATACCAGCCGAGGTAATGATTATATCTAGAAACCTTGTGTGGAAGTTTAGAGTAGAGTACAACAAAGGATAGAAGAGGAAGAAAAACAAATGCAACCCTCCTGTCAAGTAAGGTACCAAGCTGCATAATACCAGAACAAAGTCAATAAGAAAACTTTAAAATACGTGTAAAATTCTGAGCACAGTGAAGGATAAGATAAGATGCATCATTTTAGGGGGTCTCAGTACTTGCCATTGCAAGAGGATAAGCCACAAGTAAAGATCGGGGGAGTGCTGAAGTGAAGTACCAATGTATGGGACTTGTCTACTCCATAACATACGTCTCAAGGAACAACACAGAATTCAGAACAAATGCAATCAACCAAATGCAAGTGCAACAGCTTTACTGGAAAAGTGATATCTGGTTACTAACAATTTACTCCAGCACAAGGAAATTTTGAATTTAATATCGTAATCAAGAACAGATGACAATCATGCGTGCCAGGAATCAATCAAATGCAAGGAAATGTGATAAGTGTCCCACATCGGAAAAAGAGAGGGATTTGGGGCCAATATATAAGGAACGGTCAAACCTCCACTCTTAAGCTAGCTTTTGTGGTGGATAAGGTTTAGGTTTGACCCTTCCTTATACATTGGCCCCAGATCCCTCTCTTTTTCCGATGCGGGACACTTATCAAAATGTCAGACGGTTGTATATTATGTGTGTAAGAGAGAAACAGATAGAACTTAAGTTTACAGGATACACCCCATTCAGAACTTCGGTTCAAAATAGAGTTGAACCAGAAAACTTCAAATTCTGGCCACACAAACCTCCTCCACATTATAGAGTCAACAAAAATGGTAAGACCTGCAGTGCAGAAGATTTGATAACCACGACCTGACTCAGGAACTAGTGCCAGAGGAAAATAAATCAGTCAATGACATACCGACCTGTGGACAACACAGCGGCTCCAACACAGCACTTAAATGCCTTGCAGAATGGGATTGATCTGGTCTGTTATTGATGAACATGAAGTATCCACATCAGGTGGAAACAACAAAGCGAATTTCATATTATCAACATATGAAAGTTTAGAAAACATCAGCAAGCATAAACAACTCACCAGTAAAAACTCAAGACCAATAGGCCCAAGTAGTAACAATATATCGCATCTGAAGATTAAGGTGGCCACAATCTGATCATCAGATACAAGAAAGTTCAGCAAATCCATAGTTCTGACTACAATGATTCAAGTGCAAGTAACACCCACACCTGTTAGTTATTATCTCAACTTTACTAACACGTACCAGGAAGCTCAAAGTCGAACAGAAGTTTCGCCTCAACCAATTCCCATAAGCCAAATTAACTACACAAACCAGATTGCACAAGTTAGTGGTGAAGGCAACAATCTGCTAAATAAAAGAAACATGCCATGGACTTGGCCATTAGATCATCTGAAGGCCATAATAAGAAAAGTTAAATTATCTAGTCATTACCTAATCCCAAAGCTAGGATGTTAGGTAGAGGGCGGGTGCAGTAGAACAGCAAATGAAACTGGAGGGCAGTGAGAAGTACAAAGAAAGCTTCCACTTGATGCCCAAACACTTTTCTTATCTGTCGAATAAGCAAGTTTCATTCAGTCTTTTTAAAATAACACAGCTATCAAGATGCAGAGGAGATCCCCCAACTTCAATCACAATTTGAGGGACTCTCTCAAGAATCACACAAAATGGTAGCAAAGCCACAAACGCTGGAAACAGATTTCGAGTCAACAAACTTCATACCTGAAATCGGAAGAACCTTAGAGTGGACAATATGACGCAACCCAGCACCAAACGTACTATAGATCAATGAAGATAACATGACTTGAGATATTTCTGTCCATCTTTTGTAATTCAACAAAAACACAGTTCCAGCTATCTCCGAAAGGAAAATCAGTATCATAGCAAAAACAAAAACACAAGAGGTACCTGCAACAAGACCGTAAATCTTAGGAAAGCCAAGCAAGTTGATAATTGGCACGACTGGTGATGCGAGAATGGAAACTAGGAAGGCTCCTGCACAAACAAATCCGAGATTAAACGAAAAAAGCAAGAAGATCAACAGTAAAAATAATAAGCTGTGTTGAACGCACTTGCTGCAGCTTACCAATAAAGGTTCGAGGAACGACACCGGGAAACTCCAAGTGATCATACTGATAGGAAAAGACAGGAATCCAAGTAAAATGCAGTTCATACTTTAAATGGGTTGAAATTGCTAATGCCATAAGCTTCGAAAGAAAGGAAAAACACTTACGGAATTTAGATGATGCCGGTAATAAAGAATGTCGTGCATAGACTGGGCACGTAGAGTTTCAAGCCCGGAAACGGCGTACCCAATCAACAAAAAGGACAAGAGGAGAAGTTGGAAGAACAATGTGTTATATATATATATATATATATATATATATATATAGAGAGAGAGAGAGAGAGAGGGAGAGAGAGAACCTGCACATTGAAGCTTTCTTCGACCTTAGTATACGGTGCCATGAACACATAAAATGCAGCTATAGATCCCAGAATCAGATCATATCCTGCTATCCGCCCAGCAAAGAGTAAATTTGAAATTTCCCTCTACAAACAGATCCCTTAACCCGGAGACAAATCCTGATGAAAGTACAATTACCATAGGATTGAAGAAACTTGGACGAAATCGAACCCATCGGCATCGGCATGTTCTGCGACTGTCGAGGATGGAACAAGCCGAAGCACGCAGGCAAAGCAGTCAGCACAGAAAGACTACTAACGGGCTAGAGCAATTGGAATATGGGCCGAAATATTGGGCCTTGAACTGACCGGAACTGTTCGGGATGCTCCATGTTCTATTCAAATAACGAAAATGGGGGAGAGATGGCTGCGGGAGAAGAAACGGACATTTTACTCAAATGAGTATTTAGTTCGCACGAATTTCGCTGGTACTCCATCGAAAAAAACAAAAAAAAAAAAATTTCTAACTTTTACACCATTTTTCGGTTAAAAAGTCCAAAATATTTTTTTTTTTCATTTTTTTGTAACCTTCTTATTACGACTCATATATAACTAATATACAACTAAAATAAAAAGTAGTTATGATCGTATGGTGGTGAAAGTACCAAGAAAAACGTAGTTTTTTTAAAAATTTGACAGATGAATTTTTTGCCATATTTTTTAGAATCAATTGTAACTGTATTTAGAATTAATTATGAAGTCGCAATAACAATAACAAAGTTGTTTTCGAACGAACAAATACCGTTATTCATTAAGGATAATTTAGTCTTTTTAAAAAAAAAATTAATAGGTTATGTTTTTGGTAGTGTAACTTTCTGCATGAGATACTATGTTGGGCACCAGGGGAAAATTCGGACACGAATTCCTGGCGTTCGAATTCTGGCGCGACGATAACCTCCGTTACGCTAAGAACTCCAACTACAAGAACGACACCATGATCCGAAAGGAGGTATTTCTTTCCCCTGTTGTTCTCAAGGAGTGCAAGCGCATCGCTTATCTTCCGAG